TTGTCCCCCCCACGGGGCCCCCCCCTCCCCCCACCCTTCCAAAATGGCTGCCGGTCCCAGCACCCCCCAACTGCTAACCCTCTCCCCTCTAACCGACCGCCAATCAAACCCCATCATCCTTCTCCACACGGCCGCCCTGCCGTCCATCCACGACCCGCCCGAATTCGCCGCCGACCAAATCCGCCGTACCATTTCAATGCTGCCCCCGACCGCTCCTTTCGTCGTCGTCCTGTGTCACGGCGCCATCGCCACCGCCGAGAGCACTACTCTCGCGGGCGTTCGCGCCTTTCGCGCCGCTTATGAAGACGAAGCCATCGTCCCTGCACATGTGCGCGCCCGGATATCCTCCATCATCGCACTCCACATGTCCGTCTTCACCCGCTCCCATATCTACATGGCCTCCTTCTCCATGCAGCATGGAGAGTATGCAAAGCTCCATTACTGCGACCTTCTCGCCGATTTAGAAGACCATTTGGGCATCGATTCCACAATGCTCGGCCTCAAAAAGGTTGACTTCGACTACGACGAACAGATGCGCTACTGGGTCGGCCGTCAACATGAGCACATACAGTTCAACCACCCAAACCCGAGCAAGCCCATTATCGATCTTCAAAACGTCTCCCTTTCCGACAACTCCCTCGCCTCACAAAATAACGACAACTTACACATGGCCCAACCATAGCAATTTTTCGTCTTTCATCTGCATTACTTCACGCTCCTCCTTTCCCTTGCGCTTCCCCTTCCTCTTCCCCAACTGCCGTCGCACGTGCGCCCGTAAAAGCAAGATTCCCGCCGGCGTCACCCCCGAGATCCGTCCCGCCTCTCCCAGGCTTTGCGGCTTTTCCTTGCTCAACTTTTCAAAGTCTTCCAGTGATAACCCCCGAACACGTCTGTAGTCAAACTCTTTGCTCACTTTCAGGCCCTCGTCGCGTCGGAGCTTATCTACTTCCACTCGTTGCCTCTCAATGTGCGGTTTGTATTGCAATTCAGCCTCCAGATGGGCCACCCACTCTCTGTTTGCACCCACTTTTCTCAATTCGTCATGTTGCCCCCCAAACGCTTCCAACACGGCTTGCAACGATACCCCACTGCGTAGAAGAGCATCTCCAAGATACATCGATTCGTTTCCCCTCCGCTTGCATCCATCAAACACTCGCTCCAATCCAACCCTGCCAAAATCGACCCTGCTAGCTTTCGTCTTCCGTAACACGTTTCTCGCGTCCTCAACAATCCTCTGCTTCTTTTTGTAGCTCTCCCATCGCTCCCGTGTAACGCATCCGACTTCCCTTCCAATCGGCGTCAACCTCCGATCCGCGTTATCCGGCCGAAGGCTAATCCGGAACTCCGCCCGTGACGTCAACATCCGATACGGCTCTGCCGTACCCAGCCTCGTCAAATCATCTAAGAGCACTCCGATGTACGCATCCCCACGTCCCAAGCGCAAATATCCATCCGTCAGGCAGTCAAAATTCGACATGCCGTGGAGAGCCCCGTGTTGGTCAGGGTGACTGTCCCACACATGCATCGTCGCATTGATACCCGCAAGCACTCCTTGCGCCGCAGCTTCTTCATATCCTGTCGTTCCGTTGATCTGTCCAGCCAGGAACAGCCCGGGAAGCCGATGACATTCCAGATTCGGTCGCAACTCCGTCGGATCGACATAGTCGTACTCTACGGCATATCCTGGAATGGCAATTTTACCCTTCTTCATGCCAGGAATCGAGTTTATGACGCGTTGTTGCACTTGTTCCGGTAACGACATTGATATCCCTGCGGGGTAAATCAAATTTGAATCCAGCCCCTCCGGTTCCAACCATACAACATGGCCATCCCGATCCCCGAAGCGCGACACTTTAGCTTCTAGACTTGGGCAGTATCGTGGTGCGTTGTCCGAATGATATTCGGGCGAAAGGCCGGCTGCCATGGCTTCCCGGATAATATCGTGAGTTGCAATGGAAGTTCGCGTCTGGAAGCAGGAAACCAGCTTGCGACCAACGAGCATTGATGACGGCTCTGTGAGAAACGAAAATGGTACGGGATTAGCATCGGAAGGCTCTTCCTTAATTCCCTCAAAGTTGATAGAATCGGCATATATCCTCGGCGGCGTCCCGGTCTTCATCCGCCCGAGTTTGAGACCGTTCAAGCGCAAGGCATCGGCAATTCCAACGGCGGATATGTCACCACGGCGTCCTCCCATTTCAGTTTTGCTCCCCATAAACATCTTTCCATTTAAAAACGTCCCCCG